CTTTGAGCGGTACAACGAGAGCGACCAGGGAAAGGATTTCTGGAGTGTGCCTGGTATATGTCACCCTCATCTTTAAACCGCCGGAGTCAAGCGAACAGAATCACTAATGCATGGTATATAAAGCCCCGGCCAACCCCACGATTATCGAGACGCCAACCGCATCCAATCTGCTATCCTGCTCTGTGGAGCACTGGCAACACGACGACAGGGAAGGGCAGTCCGACGGACCCATCCTGGTGGCCACCGGAGCAGACAAACAGCTCCATGTGTTCCAAGCCTCCGCCGGCAACGACCTCGTGCGGTCCTTCTCCGGCACGTCGGAGTCGCCGATCTTGTCCTACACGCCGATCCGAGAAGGCCAGTTCCTGCTCCTGACCAACATGTCCGGCCATCTCCTTCTCCAGCGTGGAGCCAGCGTCGTCGAGCGCCGGAAAGACCATGCCAAATACGCGGTCAAGGTGGTCGCGCACGAGGCAGACGACAAGACCGTGTGGGTTGCAACCGCGGGCTGGGACTCGAAGGTCTTCCTCTATCAGCTCAGCGGCGGCAACAGCAGCCACAGCAGCCACAGCAGCCTTGCAGCAGTCGACGAGCACACCCCAGTAACCATCGGCGAGCCCGTGGCGCAGATCTCCCTGCAAACGAACCCGGAATCCATCCTCTTCGTCCGTCACGTCGACACGAAGGAACTTCTTCTCCTCGTCTCCAGACGGGACTCGACGTATATCTACTACTACCGCGTAAAAGGGTCACGGGCAGCACCCACCGCTGCAGAAACAACCCACCCTCAGCAGCAACAGCAGGCCGAGTGTGTCCTGCTCGGGAGACAGAACCTGGCCCCGCACTCGAACGCCTGGGTGGCGTTCTCCCCCTCGTGCATGGCCCTCAGCCCCCATGACGCGGGCCTTCTTGCGGTTGCAACGTCCACGCTCCCGCACATGAAGGTCATGATTGTGCGGCTGCTGTTTCCGTCGCAGGAGACGCTGGGCGGGAGCGGTGAGGATGACGGTGATGATGGCGTGGGTGCGAGGGAGCCGGTGACGCAGGCTGCGCAGGCGCTTGCGGCGCTGTCGCTTCAGAACCGAGAGGATGCTGCCATCATGGTTCAGGCCAACACTTTCGCGCCGCAGACGGCGTACTCGACCCCGCAGGTGGTGTGGCGGCCGGATGGCTCGGGAGTCTGGGTCAATGGCGATGATGGGGCTATTCGCGGACTCGAGGCCAAGTCCGGTAAGATTGTTACTGTCTTGAAGAATGGCCATGAGGCAGGGTGTAAGATTAGAGCCATCTGGGCCGGCTGGGTTGAGCGTTCAGGCTCTGATGGCAGAGCTCTGAGGGAGGAATGGCTAGTAAGTGGAGGGTTCGATAGGAGGCTCGTGGTCTGGAAGACATAGTATACAGTCGGGGAACATTTATGTTTGTGGAGCATTCAATTGGCGCGTATCATGTGAGGATACATATGAATAGATAAAATCATGCAACAAATTCAATATATTGACTAGTCATAGCTCTACATCAGTCTACTGGGGATGTAGCCCTCCGTCCATGCACCCTTGACCCACGGAGAGCAAAAGGCCAAGGGTGATTGGAAGTCAGGAGGGCATGGGATCTTCTCTTGGCACGTTAAAATAATCCTTCAGCAAGCGCGCATGGAAAAATAAGCACGAAGCTGTACACACATATGCCTGATCTCCGACTCCGGTCTGCAAAAAGACCCGAACCGAATTTGTGGGGAAAACCCGTCACTCACCACGATGCGAGCAAGGAGGGAAAAGAAAAATAGCAGAAGAGCACGACTCGCTCTTTCAAGTATACCCGCAGAGACCAGTCAATTTCCTTTCCTATGTGACAACCGTTTGCGAAAACATGTAGCCGGGTGGGGTGAGGACCAGTCTGGGCTAAATCCGACAAGACAAGACGATCCCACTCATGGTGCGCGGGGGCGTTTTGGCAAAAGAAAGATCAACCAACTCAAATCGCTTTCATTTCTTTTTAAAACGTTTCTATATTAGTTGATTTATGCGACCTCGCGCTTGCCCTCCTTGCGCTCCTTCTGTTCGAGTTGTTAGCCAGATCGTTCTTCTCGCAGATCGAAGGTCGGGAGGGTCGATGAAGGGTAGCGAATGTGAGGAGATCGAGGGACTCGCTGGGTTAACGTACCAGAGCCTTGGCGGTACCGTGAAGAGCGTGTCTGTGGTTGCGGCGGAACTTGGGGTCAACACCCTTGAGGGAGGGGTAACGGTTGGTCTTGGGCTTCTTGATACTGTGGAGCGGAAGATCGACAAGGTCAGCGATTTTTTTGCATTCATGTGTTTCCGGTGTTGTATTTCATGGTAATGGCGACGGTCAAGGCGCTGTTGTCGTGTTGGATGGAACAACGATGGTTGAGAGGTTCCTTCCACAATCGCGCCGTAATCCAACATAGCGACTCTCCCCGCTCCATTCCATTCGTACATTCGTGTGGTTCTTTCAGGACTTGGTTCGATGGGGATTCGAGGGTACGCACCCGTTACGGTGAGCCTTCTGGCTGTTGTGGTGCTGAGACGCGTTCTTGGACTCTGTGTGGGAGAATCATGTCAGTGAACTGATCACGGTTGCCGAATGGACCTGTAGAAACATGGCGAACGGTCCCAGGGGAGGGATGCTGATATTTGGGACCGGTTGAATTCTTCGTCTTTTTTTTCCTGGGATAAAAGTTCATATAGCAGGGGTGTACATACTCGCCATCTTGTCGGATTTGTCGCAACTGGGAGACGGTTGACGAGGAGTTGGCGGGTGAGGTTATCCTGAACTGAGCGGAAGGCCAGAGTCCCCAAGGCAGGTTCGGCTAGGGCTGGTTTTCAGTGTGGGATTTCGCTTACCGAGCACGGCTAGCGTGTCCGCCTCAGCTATCACTTCACTTGCTGCTGCTTCTACTGCTTGACTTCCCCCCCTATACTCCCCGTATAACCGTGTGGAGGGGAACAACATTAGTGCTATTGATGTTACATATTACACTTATTCCTGACGTCTTTCCATCTTCTGTATCAGATCTGTTAGAACTAGAGGTTGGGTTAGACGTTCATGGACCCTCGAAGTATGTTGTATGGGCCTGAGGCATCAACACCCGCAACCGATGACTAATCTTATCTTGTGAGATGAATCTGCGCATCCGTTGTAACACCCTGTTGGTTTGAATCCCAAACATTATTGATGTGAGGTTGCTGCTCTCTAAGTGAGTTGCGGGACAAAAGCAATGGTGATCGACTGCTTCTCGATGCCTGATACCGCTGCCTGACCTGGCCTGCTATAGAAAAATTGTTATGATAGCCGAGCCAAGGCTAAACACCATATCACGTGACTACAGAAGTATTATGGATCTCGAAGTATGCAATTGGGCCTGCGCTCATGTTGAAGGCTTCATGGACGATTTTTAATTTAAACATGCACATTCATAGTAGGATACCTGCCTTGCCAGAAGTTAATAAGAGGGCTCATCTGCGCCACCGCAACCGGAATTTTGCTGGTGCTCGTCTTTGACTCATGGCCCTAAATTGTGAAAGGCAGCGGATGACAGAACACACGTCTGTGCTGATCTTTGTGAGATAGATTGAAATTGAGTAATATCAACAGAGTGTAAGCCTTCCGCTACAGATTCTGAACAAATCCGATGACGGCGTAGAGGCTAGATACCGTGCCCACTAGTCAGTTCAAGGTTCGGAATACGTACTTGGTCAAATCATCGGGTTCGTTGGCGGTGTTGTCGCGCGGGCCCCCACGTGACCGGAAGAGCCGCTAGGGAACAACCGGCATCCGACTTCGACCTTTGCAACTCTCAACCCAGGTTCAAGAGGGATATCACTACCACCACCTCCATTCCGTCCATTGCAAGATGAGCTCTCTCCGCTTCGCTCGCTCTGCTCTCAGGGCTCGTCCCTCTGCTTTCCGCGTTCCTCTTCAGCGCAGAGGTTACGCCGAGGCTGTTAACGACAAGATCAAGCTTTCCTTGACCCTGCCTCACCAGGTACGATTCCGATTCTGTTATGCAACCCGCTGCGTCCGCCATGATATTCAGTGACTGACAAATTTGTTCTCAAACAGACTATATTCAAGTCCACTGGCGTGTATGTGGTCCCTTGACTCCCGTATCGACCGAGCAATTGGACGAAACTCTTTCAGCCTTGACCGCCCCGTACTTACGAGTCTTTCCATCCAGTGTCCAGGTCAACATCCCTGCTGAGTCCGGAGAGATGGGTGTCCTCGCCAACCACGTCCCTTCCATCGAGCAGCTTAAGCCCGGTCTCGTCGAGGTTGTTGAGGAGGGTGGTGCCAGCAAGAAGTTCTTCCGTACGTCCGACCATTTCTATCGAGACCCGGCTTTACCTCCACTTCAAACAGACATTGCTTGGATCGCAGCTGCTACTTGGCTTTGAGCCTGGCTGACGTATTTGTCTTCTTGTATAGTTTCCGGTGGCTTCGCCGTTGTGCAGCCTGACTCCCAGTTGAGCATCAACGCCGTCGAGGGTTACCCCCTTGAGGACTTCAGCGCTGAGGTAGGTGTCCCTCCCACCCTGTTATGTCGCGTCGCCAGATGACTAATGTAATCATTCGTCTACTTCAGGCTGTCCGCTCCCAGATCGCCGAGGCCCAGAAGATTGCCAGCGGCAGCGGCAGCGAGCAGGATATTGCCGAGGCTAAGATCGAGCTTGAGGTAGGTCGAGTCCGCTTCGTTATACTACGAGTTTGTCTTTTAACGCCATGACCAGGTTCTCGAGATCCTCCAAGCCCACCTTAAATAGATACCTGATGTACATATCCAGTCGCGACCTTCCACCTGACCTTGTAGAATTAAGCCAATTCTCTTGAAATGTTGTTTTGCATGAATTGAAGACAACGCCCACTGAAGGCTTGTGTGGCATTAGTTCCACTGACGATTATTGCTAACTAAGACTTTCTTGGACTCCTCGGTTTCCCGGCCGCTCCTTCCCAGTTTGGTTGTTGGATTCCAGTCCGAGTCTCCTGAAGCACTCCCTCGAACTTCCTTCCGTGCATTCCGCTGCTTCCCCTCTGTCTAGTTTCGTGCTAATCCTGAGTGCGCAGACTGCAATAGATATTTGCTGACGATGACCCAGCAGTCAGTATTGTCTGGCTCAAGCTCCCTGGTCTACGAACCTGAGCTTGGCGACCACAAACAACCCAACATCCTGCCGCTTGTTTCCGACCTGCGGTCTATGAAATCCCCCCAGTCTTCCCTCGACCGCGTCGCTTCGAGCGGGCTGGAAAATCTCAAGGTGCCCCCAGCTTTGCAGAGGAATGATTCTCGTGATACCGATATATTCCAGATTTTCCCCATGGACGTTGACAACAACCCCTCCTCAGTCACGACATACAATGCAAAGGACATAGGGATTGAGCCTGAAATTCTGCGTAGCTCATCAATCTCAATCCCCGGGTCTACAAAGGAGAATGAACTATGCGATCTCGAAAGCCGATCATCTCCGACCAAATTGACTTTGAACGAGCCCACCGTGAGCGCGATACATGGCGTCCTTATTGAACCGAGTCGTACAGAAAGTCTCAATCGCGAGCTCTCTCAAAAGCCCCCCAAGCCACCAAAGCCGGCTTTCCTCTCTGAGCTCGAAGTTCCTACTTTCACTGTATCCGAACATGTTCGCTCATCTGTGGCTGATCCCGGAACGACGCGCCAGAGAAGAAAGTCCCTTGGCACAGATCCTCAGATGCTAGCACTGCGGCAGGGTATAAGGGCTCCTTTGCGTCTTTTCAACCTATCGATGGGACGTTATCAGGGACATGACTCAATAATGCGAATAAAGAAACCCTGGACTAATCAGAGTTCCCCATCATCGCATGTCCTTCCGCGTCTAATAATACCATGTCCAGAGACGACAACCTACGTTGTGAAAGATAGCCCGGAAGTGCCATTGCCGGCACCGTGTCCGATTGTCGACGAGTCACTCTTCCGTCACAACCTCGGATTACCAGACAGCGCAGCAAGTAACAATATCCGGCTCCCTGCCCTTGACGGTCATCGTCAAACCCTGCCACATGGACGGCGTTCAATCGGTGATTTGCTGGAGACGTATATCCGCAAGCCCTTCCGATCGATCTGGCTACAGACCAAGGAAAACGAGTGTGCTATTGTCAGCTTGGTAATTGGGCAGCGATCTGAGCGGGACTTGCTATCTCAATCAATGTCATGCTCGTTCCATGTGCACGTCGCTTGGCCGATTGCGCAGACCTATGCTAAGAGCCGCGACGGTCTAAAAGATACTTTTGTTTCCCCGTACATGTCCACGGCACATCTTGTTAGGGTTGACGTCATTGTTCCACTTCTATTTCTGCGGATTGTGTCTTTCCTCAATGCCGCTTTCCTCCAGGTCATAGGCTCTGCAGCCCCATGTGCAGTGATTGGATTGCTCCACCTACTTCTGCATTTCGCTGTAGTATCTCTTACTTTTCTCTTGGAAAAGGTTGGTGTCAATGTCTTCATTCAGAGCTGACCGCGTCTGAGAGATACAGTGGTGTGGAAGAGGGGCATTTGGTCGATCGACCGAGTTAAGCACAAAGGTTCAATCAAAACGAGGGTCTCAGTGAGGAAGGGCAATGAGAACGAGAGCTAGGGTTTTATTATTATCCTATTGTGAGATTGTTACATAGTTGATTCATGACTATTGAACCTATGACCATTAGATATCGAGACAAGGCTGCCGACGAATAGACTTTATGTCGAGAGCTATCTAATAGTCATGGGGAAGTCTAACCGAGAAAAGAATAGCAGATTCCGATTATCACATGCATCTGTTACCTCGTCGAACAATCTGTAGCTCAATGCATAAAACCTTAAGCATTCACCTGCAGTCGCCTTAGAATCCGAGCCAGCTGCAGTCCCGACAAGATTGAACTCCAACGGACGAAAAGAGCAAGCAAGTTAAGCTCATCACGAATCGACAACGAAATGCCATAGGGAGATCGCTAGTGAGAATTTATATGTGGCTAAGTGTTCTCAAAGGCAGATAAGGCAAGGTAGTGCTTGCTAACTTCTCCGCCGACTCGGAGACATTGATGTTCGTTCGCCTCCTTGCGATGCCCAATCTCGACGAATTCGATTAGGCCCTTTGTCTCGTCTATTCATTGCATTCCTGATTGTTTTAAAGAGACCGGACCTTGACCCAATCCCATTTCCTTCGATGGGACGAGACCTATCATACTACCATCCTTATGACTACGATCTCTACAAGAGAAGCTTCCCCATTCCGCCGGCTGAGTGACTTTCGCAGTCAACTGACACGCCTAGATGATGAATCTTGATATCGATTGACGGTCGGTCCTCTGCGAGCTCTACCTGTGGTTGAGTCTTTGGTCTCGATTGTACTGTACCGGCAGGCTTACTGATTCTTTTAATGTCCCGGCAGCTAGCTAGTGCCAATTGGCCGACTTGCTCGCCCGAAGGGTGACTGCAATCACCCACCAAGCGACGCTGCTGTTATGTGCGTATTGACAACCAAAGGGACCTCTAGGAAGGGATCTATCGTTATAAAAAGACCCGTTTTTTCTGCTTGCTTACTCCGACCAGGGCCAGGCACCTCCTCTGACCACATCACATGCATTTATTACTGTAATCACAAAAGCAACAGCACCCGCCCAAGGTAAACCGGATGGAGTTGGGGGGTACTTCGCACACAAACAATTCATATACACCAAATCATCAACATCAACATCACATCAATATCAACATCAACACGTCAACAAAAAGAGGTACTAAAATCGACAAACAGAGATATAATCCTACCACATAAGATCGTCAGTATCATATCGTTGCTATACAAAAAAAAAAGGAAAGACAAGAAGAGAGAACGCAATATGTCTTTTTCTTCTCAGGTGAATTCAACACCTTGCTGTCTCTCTTGACGTGCACGAGCTCGTTCCGCACGTCTACGACGTCGATTGCTCGCGTATTCGCTGGCCTCGGTCCCGGTAAATGTTCCCGTTCCGGGTGATGTGATGCTGGCTGCGCCGTAGGGGTGGCTGGAGGGTACAGGGGGCGGAGGCGGAGGAGGTAAGTTGGTCATGTTCGGAGGAGGCGCATAGTATGTCGCGGGGATGCTAGATGAGGGGGCCACAGATGCTCCAACCCCAGCCGCCGCCGCCGCTGCGGCTTGCTCTCGGTGCATCTGCGCCTGCTGTTGACGTTCCAGCTCCTCGACCCGACGCCAGCGGTCGTAGTTGCCCCCTTCATTGCCGGATAAGGAGCTTGCACTGCCGGCTCGGCGGCGTGAGTTTCTTCTTTCCCGGCGCCTTGCCTCCCGGCTCGCGGCAGCTTCTTCGTCGGTCAATCTCCTGAGCGTGACATGGCGGCCATCGTTGTGCATCTTCACTTTGACGGATACAGGGGGTGAGTCGACATGATCATCGCGGTGCCGGCTTCTGCTGCGATGCCGGTGGCCAGAGGAGGCAGCAGCAGCACCTAGAGTCGCCCCCGTTGCTACACCAGCTGCCAAGTCGCCCGAATCGTGTCGAGGAGGAGGTGGAGCTTCTGAGAGCAGATCGTGCGGGACCGGAGGAGCTGATGCCGGAGGCAGGTCTGAGCGCGCGCCATCAACCGCCCCAGACGCCATAGGCACAGCAGAGATAACAGATTCCCCATGAGGTGGTGGGCGGTGTGGTGGATGTGTCAACTCCGTCGAAATATCAGTGGCAGTGAACGACTCTGGACCTCGTCGCGGGTAATAGCCGTCTCCAGTGTACCGTCGCCCACTATTCGCGCGAGCTAACTTTTCATCTTCCATCTCGCGGCGACGCAAGTCCTCTACTCGGCGCTGCTCATCATTTGCTTTGCGACGGGAGAATAGACCCTTTAATGCAGCAAAGGCTCCTGCTCCTAGAACAACATTTCGAAGCGTGTGTGACGGTCTGCGTGCAGGTTCGGATGACAGGTAGGTGCTGTCGTAGTAGTACGATGATCCTGGGCTTTGAGCGCGACTAGCTGGTCGACTCGGTGGTCGGCTTGGAGGCCGACTCGGGGGCCGATTGAGAGGCGTGCGCTGCGTTGGCTCCACTCGACTTAGGCTTTCCTCTGTTATGCTGTCGCTGCGTCCATGAGCCCGGCTATAACGACCAGACTCCGTATCATCATCCCGATCGCGCCTTCGGTCGAGAAACTTCTTCACAAGCCATGCACCCCCGCCAATAGCCCCCAGCTTGAGCATCGTGTCCTCCCACCGTCCTCGGCGCCTGCCCCCATCGGAGTATTTCTCTTCTGGATAACCCGGGTGCGGATCATCATACTCATGGTCTTTACCTCGCGAGCGTCTTCTGAAGAGTGAGCCCAACCCAGAGCCTACTGCTCCCGCGCCAGCCATAGGACCGAGACCACCAGGGGGGTGTCCTTCAGGACCAGGAGGGCCGGACACGTAGCTACGACGAGCTTCATAATCCCCCTCCATGTGATAGCCCTCAGTATCGTATAGGTAGGATAACACAAACCATGTTGCCAGAAGCGCGAAGGCGGCGATCGCATATAGAATAAAAAGCACTTTGGGTGAGCCGTAGAGAGTGAGACCTAGTGGTATTTGCACAATTCCCAAGATTGTCAAAGCGCGGCCAATCCACCGATGTATCTGGCAATCGATTAGCCCTCATGTAGACCATCGGAGATGTCACTGCTTGGTCTACTTACGACAAGCTTTAGCGGCACATGGAAGCGCCTCTTGTTTCTTTCGAATTTGTGAACAAGCCAGCCCCATAACACTTGGAAACACACCAAGACATAGATCGCTAGGCCAATTCCATGGTGAGGATTCGTCAAACTCCGTCGGGGGCCTACAGCAAACCAGCCAAATACGAACACAACAGTGCTCAGCATCACGGTCAGAACCTGGCACCAGACGTGCAACTTGAATGCCCAGTATGGGTTCCATCGCGAATAATATCGAACAATCAAGACCGAGATGGGGACAAGACCGAGAAATACGATAGTGGCGATGACACCGTGAACAATGATCAGCGTATGGTATTCGGGCATATCTTTGAATCGGTTCCCCATTCCTAGCGCCCATGGTAAGCGAGATTTTAGCAGATGTGGAGACATGTATGGATTGCACCTACCATTGTATCGCATCGTGTCGAAGTTGATCCCCATCAAGTTGGGCAGCAGGAATGTGTCGCGCTCCGAGTCCCATGTCCCATCACCCACATGTAACGTATTCGAGGAGTACGTACTGCTCCCGGGAGCCGTGAGCCCCGAATCCGCCGCCATGATTGTCAATGATTTTGTCCTCCAGTGATGTCAGGCCGAGATCGATGAGTGGCTCCTGCAACAGACGGCGAGATTAGATGCTGTGGAATGTCGGAACTACCGAAGGAGATCTATTGAGATCCCCCACTCCGAAGAATGCACCATGCGCCGACGGAGAAAGATTGGGTTTGACTTGAGTCGCTGATTTGTCCTCCGGCCGATTGACAAGCTATTCGCGAAATTCGCGTAGCTTCTGGAGTTTCCGGAGGAAAAGTTGGGACGATGGACGGTCCAGCTCACTCTCTGCAACAAGCGCTGGCGGTGAGAAGTGGAGGATGGAACCGAGATTAGTATAGTTAGAGTGGTCAAGAAGAGAGGAGATAATGACGGAAACAATGACGAGTCCAGAACCAGGGATGTAAAGGAGAAAACAATGGAGGGGGGTGGGTAGCCGTCAGCGAGACGCAGGAAGGGAGGACAAGTTTAGTCAACCGCCGGAGGGGAATTGATCGAGATGCAGGCAGGGTTGGGGTTATTTAGTTAGTGGACTTACCGCTAAGTAACGGCTGGCTGGCTGGCTGGCTGGGGATGCGATGCGATCGCGGCTCGCAAGGCACAAGCACAGCACAGCAGCAGCAACAACTGTTTTCCTTCTTGGGTTTAGTGCGCCAGCGCATATCCCAGACAACCACTGCTGACTCAGCAGTCCTCGACCATCTGCCGGCACGGACCGCCTGCGCATTGTATCGATCGCGTGCTATCTATCTGCTCAGTATCTCACTTTATCCATCTTATCGTCCGCGCTGCAATCAAGTGATCCCTGCCCTTCGCTCCCCCTCCCCCCTCCCCCTTCAATTCGAACAAAGACAATATGTGTATCTCCTGGATCTAATTCATCCTCCTTTTGACCTGACTTTTCTCTCACAACTCTCTTCTCTCTTTTTATGGTGATCCAAAGTGTTCGAAATTCCAACCATGACTTCTCAACTCGAGATATTCGTCAGAGCTCTCTCTCGGTAGGTGTTCTCCTTATCTACAACCAGCCAGCGGTCCTTAGATAAAACACTACTGACCCCTGTGAACATAGCCTTCTGGGCTGGATCTAGTATGTCTCACACTCACATAGGAGTCTCGTTAGGAGAATTCTTCTGTCGAGGTATATCGGAAACTTTTTCAGTGGCTTATTGATTGGCATAGCACGCTTTGCTGGTCCGCGTCATTCTATCCCCAACCGCTCAACAACTTCCGGCGACGCTCAACCACCGGTCTAGCCATAGACTTTCCTACGATCAATGTTCTAGGTTTCGTCTGCTATACGATATATACTTCTGCGTTCCTTTGGTCTCCTGTTATTCGTGAACAATATGCCGCCCGCCATCCTCTCGCACAAGACGCTACGGTGCGCTTTAATGACTTCGCTTTCGCCATCCATGCTGTCGTTCTCAGCATCATCTATTACTCCCAGTTCTGGCCCTTTATCTGGGGCTTCAAGGTCTCTCGGTATCAACGGGTTAGCAAACCGGTCGCTGGTCTTTTTTGGGGCTCGATCGTCGGCGTGGGCGCTGTCGTGGTGATTGTTCTTGCCAAGAGTCCCAATGGGGGACTCGATCCTTTCTCGTGGGCATGGATCGATGTTGTGAGTACTCTGAACTATCGCAACTGTACTATCACAAAACCAGTCCGGATTGATGACTGATTCCATCAGATCTACGCCCTCTCATATGTGAAACTGATCATCACCATCGTGAAATACGTACCTCAGGCATGGGTGAACTATAAGCGCAAGTCCACCTATGGCTGGAGTATCGAAGGAATCCTCTTCGACTTCTCTGGCGGTATTCTGTCTCTTGCGCAACTGATTATGGATTCGAGTTTCCAAGGCGATTGGAGCGGCATCACCGGAAACCCCGCCAAGTTCCTTTTATCGAACGTGACCATTTTCTTTGACGTCATTTTCATCGTGCAGCACTACATCCTTTACAAGGATGCAGAGGATGATAAGGATAAAGGACAGGGTGCAAACGATAGAACGCCGCTTTTGTCGCAAGCCAACGATCTGCCGTGAGCAGCTGGTGTCAGCGTATTGGATGCGCAAGTCGGATACATCGCGATTTGCTTTTTTGTTTGGGGCTTTTTTGGTGGCGGGTCCCTGCTTACCTTGGTTGCAATTTTCTCTGTCCGTTTGTCGTGCCTCAAGTTTCGCGAAACGATAAGATCCCAACCGAGGCTCGGGATTTCTTGGAATATGTATGAGACGCTTGAATCTCTGCCGAACTATACGACGGAGAAGCCGTTTAATTGTGAGATGGGTGGTTGAGAGCATTTTCGACGTCTGAAGGTGGTCCAGAGATGACTCAACCACCGGTGCTCCATGATTGATAGAATATATTTTTGGAATAATGTCTTGCACCAGGTTACGGCACATACCATAATTTGGATGTAACATGACCTTGACACATATACGCTCCAACCGCCGAGATCTGCAGGCCGATCAGGGCCAGCCCGGGGGATAGGGAGGGTCGGATGCAGTGGACGCAATGGACGCAGTATTATGCACAGTAGCGAGGGTGCCGACACCGCTCTTTATCAGCCCTTCCGTGCTGACGGCAATCCTTTGGCGCGGCTTCCCTTCCACAATCCCGCCAATCTGGGGATCGTCACGCTGCGGAATCGCGCAACATGGCATGAACTTCCATGCTGCAGCAGGGATTTCCTCCTTGAGGCTTATGGCCCATCTGGCGGTAAGCAGAAGAGATCTGCATCTCAGCCATGTCCAATAGCGCCCACTTGCTTGCCCGTTTTGGTAGTCGAGTTGTGCCAGCCTTGCAAGCGTGGGGGGCCTAAGCATACCGTCAACCATTCACGTCAGCTTGTTGGTCTCGTCCCACCTGCAACGGCCAGAGAAATCGTGCAGAACCATGACTCGAAGTCGCATTTTTGTTATCCCTTTTTTTGTCTTCCGTTTGTGATACATCCTCGATGTCCCCTGTCCTTCATACTTTCTTTTTCGATTCTCTATTTTTATGCGGGACTTGGTGAGTCCGCGGCCCTCCCTGAGGCTGAGACCTCTGCCTAGACAGGGAGCCTCCCACGACACGCGAATGCCGCATGCATATTGTGCTGCATACTCAACTACCGCGCAACTATAGTCCTGGGTCTGTGAGCTAACATTCTAGCCCGAGCTATCTTGTCAGCAAACGACTGGGCTTTCCTGACTGGGTCGGAGTCGACCCAAGCCATGCTTCAACAACAGAGTGAATTCCTCACTCCGCCAGCTGCATATGAATACTCCTGATTCGCGCACTGTGGCTTTTCTCACACGATGACTATGCACCTCAGCCCTATCAGGTAGCCAGTCTCGAGCCATGATGGTCGATAGTAATGCCTACATAAGCAGTGAAGATCTGCTTTGGGAAGAACAAATGAAACAATGCCCAGAAAGCAATAGTCCGAGCCCCTAGTCTGTGGTGCTATTGGCCGATATTTGAAATTCTTGTCATTGGAGTCAACTATGTATACTCCAACAGAAGATGTCATACGGACATTACCGGCCGGCAATTCAAAGTCAGCTGCGATGTTGGATTTCAAACGCAGTGGAATGACCTATTACATCATGCACCTGGCAGAACTCCCCACTATACATCAACCCCATAGATGTGGCCTATATTAAATCACGAGTTTCAAGGCTAGTGTGAGAGCTGCTGACAGCGTCAACGTCCGGCGAAACCAATGACACAGTGGCATCAAACTTCAAGAAATTTATTAAGCAGAGATTCGGAATGACTCCCGCTCAGCTAACCGGATTGACCGTCAGCTCTCGACATATGCATAGCCACATCTGACATTCGAGATACTCCTCCGAGAACAGAACATTAAAAAGACAGTAGTTTATATGGACCTCCTTTTTCCTCCAGCCGCAACTCGAAAGAAGTTAGACGATGAAGAAGCACTAACCAGAATTGTTGCCCTGATGAAAGTAATTGTTCTTCTGTTGCTGCATGGAACACACTCGTTGCTGAGAGAACGTTTCCATGGACGAGGATACAACTGTAAGTTAAGATTCCCATCACTCAAGCAAGTGGCCTAACAAAATACATACTTAGCACAAGCCAATCTATGATAGAGCTTCTGCTCGTTCAGAGCCTTCCACAATGATTTCACAGAGATCGATGGACAATCAGGTGCTGCTACCACCCGGCTCGTACATCCCAAGTGCCATGTCATTGCAGATGCAGCCGCACCTTTTTCCAGCGGCAGCCTTCCACGAGGCTTCTCTGTCAGCCGTCCATGGGATGCCTGGAAACCTGGGATACGCACTCAGCCAACCCCACAGCAGAAACCCAGGGATGGAGGCCGTCTTCTTCCAGCAGGGGCCTTATACGCCCTCATTCTTGACATCATCCACCCAGCCCAACTTACCACTGTCATCACATTCAATGGCAAACACATCTAATCGAGTTTACTCTGTGCGCCCGGGGAGTTGGGCCACGCCGACAGCAACCCAGATCCAGGCACATACACCGACCCCAGAACCACACACAGCAGCTGACTATCACCTCACATCACCCCATCAGCACCACCCAACATTATCTCAACAGCAACTCACCCCTATCTCCACCTCAACGGGCGACTTCGACCTCGACCTCGATCTCGATCTCGATCTGGACTTCGACCTCGATGAGCCCCCATCACAACCCCCAACACAGCCCCACCACCTCGCAGATGAAAACGCCACCGCCGCCATTCCATGCTCCTCTTCATCCTCACCACCACGCTCCCAGTACCCTCACAATCACCACCACGTCCATCGAGATTTGACGAACTATGGCATTCCCAACCCCGACGGAACATGGCGCTGTGCCTACCCAGGGTGCTCCTCACAAGCCCTCTTCCGTCGTGGCTGCGACCTCCGCAAACACTACAACCGACATCGCAAGCACCTGTTCTGCCGCCACGAGGGTTGTCCACAGGCCGTGCGGGGTGGGTTTTCCAGCAAGAAAGACCGAGATCGACACGAAGCGAAACATAACCCCGAAATCCCATGCGAGTGGGACGGGTGTCGTCGGGTGTTCAGCCGAATGGATAACATGAAGGATCATGTGAGAAGGATCCATAAGAGGCGCGACATTTGAGAGAATTCTCTCCCTAGGTCTCCTGTCTCTTCTTCAGTCGTCATATTCAACGAAGGGGGCGGGGCAGTTTCCCGTTTCAATACAACTTTCGGAACAAGAAGCTTTTCTCGCCCCCAGGGGACAAACACTTAGGAGAGGTGGGTGGAAAGTGGAGGGTCCGAATATGCTAGAATGGAGCCAGTCAGCGACATACAAACATGATTACATACGAAGTATGTAGTGCAGTGAGGGCGTGTACCCCCAGCTGAGGAAAAGTGGAGGCTTTTTCTTTTCAGCCTCATCCCGTGACTTTGACCGAAGAGGAAGGAAGACGTGTGGTTCCGGTTTCTGGCTGGCTGGCCTGCAGGACTTGGCCTAACCCCCTCCCCCCTCCCTTGTCTCACCCTTCTTCACAGAAAGTTGGTGTGTGGGCTGACAGGTATTCTCCTCCTCCTCGTCGTCGTCGTCATCGTCGTCATCATCATCATCATCACAACAACATTATTATCTCCTGGCGTAACAAGACCAACGCCCGCACACCACTACCATACAACATACCCAGAAAACCAACAATCGCATTCCACACACGAGCAGCTCTACTCCATCGCCAGTGCGCAATGCAGACCCCTCAACTTTGATGACACCTTCTCCTTCCCATCACCTTTTTAACAAACATGGAAGGAACCCCTTCAAACCTTTAA